TAAAAGAAGGGTTTAGTTATCTTTTAGAGTTCTTGAAAAACTGATTTTCCAGAAAACGGGGTCTTCAAGAGTCATAGGCCCGAACCCTTTTAGGATTTTCTTAGTCTCACTGAGTCCTACTTATAGCCAAAATATGGAGTCAAACGGCGTCCGACAGTTGGATAGGTTCCCTCGTAAGCCATATTTGGTCGAAGAGAAATGTTTGTTCTAAAGATATAAACACTCGAAAGAATGATTTATGCAGTATATAGTAGAGTTCGCATTGAGATAAATTTTTCGACCCAGTGCGTAGATTCAAACCTTCGAAACCAATCTCAACTGGTTTCATTCAAAATAGGGTATTCAGTTCGTAGACTGAAAATTTCGAGTCCATTCTATGAAACATATTCCCAGATAAACGTCCTAGTAAAGTCCCTATGAGTTTCCTGACAGGATCCGAGACATATCCTACCAATATTCTACTAGGATTTCGCTTTAATTTCTTAGGATCTTAACAAAATTCTACAGAATCTTAATGAAATCAGGTATACCGGAAAGTAATAGGATTTTCTAGGATTCTGTTAAGATCCTAAACAAACTTAAGCGAAATCCTGGTAGAATCCTAGCATTTTAGGATCCTGCTAGGAAGTTATTAAGTGGATCCTAAATGTTAGGATACTGTAAGATCCCAGTAGGAAATAGGCAGGAAGTGCGTAGAATTTTGTCTAGGGTGATTGTCATATTACCTTCCTCTCTTTCCTGGAAAGCACTATCGAATAAGATTGCTGAAGATCAGAAGTCCAGTTTTTATTGTCGGAGAACGTTCTTTTTGTTATTTATCCTACAATTTATCTTACGAAAAATATTGCATTCTAATCCTGTCCTACATCATGCATACTCTGTATTCTAATAGGATCCTGCTAGACTCAACATAATTTATATGGCTTCCAAAAGGCCTACTTTGCGAAAAAGTATAATTTCCTCGACTAAGTAACTTTAGACGTCTTTTAACAATTGCAGAACGGGTAAAAATGTTAATTTTTTTAGTCCATTGCCATTAATTTTTGATAACATTTTATCAATTACAACAGTACAAATCGATCTTTCTCATTTCGAAGAAAATTATATATAATGAATCATATTCATCAAAAGATTATTCGCACAGATGCATTTGTAAATCTCTCCCATAGTAGTAGGCCACCCTCTATTTGAAGATCAGTTTAGAGAGAGATTTTTTCAAATTTATTATTAAAGAAAAAAGACACCGAATTGACCCTTCAACTATTTTGTACGCTATTTATTTTGTGGTTTTATTTTACCTGTGCTGTTATCTTTTACCATCAACAAACAAACGTACGCGCACGCATACACACGTTTCACTTGTATTCGTCTCAAAATGGGAAATTGTTTAACGACTCAAATAAAAGCGAGTGGTCAATATTCAGTTGAAAATAATTCAGCTCAATTATTATCAGTGATAACAGAAAAAGATTACATTCAATATATTAAATCGAAAAAGCCTATCAAACAGGAAATATCCATTCAAACCGATAATGAGTTTCAGTCGATTATACCCATTGAGGTTAATGATAATCCAAAGGTACCAAAGATACTGATCCACAAGTCTGAAACAGTTTCAACACAAACAATCGATCAACAACAAACTATCAGTCTTGATATTGATCAAGTAACAAGGAGCAGACGGCCGGATATGTTGAAATTAGAGAAAATTGTTGTTTTATGGAAGAATGTCACATCGATAGATAATCTTTGCAGACTTTTTTATAAAACAGGTACAAACTCTCTTGAACGTGTGTGGTTATTATATCAATGGATAATAAACAATAGCGATGAATCAGAAAATATACCAAATTTGTTTTTTTTATGTTGTCAGAAAATGAATATTCAATGTAAAATAGTTAGTGGTTATATACGATCGTTAGACGAAAACAAAAACTCTGATCCTACTCATCATAAATGGAATAGTGTTTTTATTGAAGAATGTTGGCATCTACTCGATATTGTCACAGAAATGTTCTACGAAGATTCTCAAAATTTTTATTTTCTACCATCACCGGATCATCTTATTTTTAGTCATTATCCAAATGAAGCAAAATGGCAATTATTAAAAACACCTCTCACCTATGAACAATATCTCTCATTACCTCGAATATCAGCAAGCTATTTTCTATTGGATATGCATTTAATCAGTCCAATTGAAGGAATATTAAACTCAAATGAAAGTATTACTCAAGTAATTCTTTCCAGTCCATTATCACATACTCTTCAAGTGTTCTGTTGTCTTCAGCATGACAGTGATAAATATCCTGATCGACACACATTTGTTAATTATGACTTGGATACACACCAATTTCAATTTTTTGTTTCACCACCAATGATTGGCAATTATGAGTTTGTTATATTTGCTCGTGATTCTAATGAGACTGAAGAAGAAGATTATCAATGGATTATTAAGTATCACTTGAATGTAATACAAATGAGAACACATTGTCAAACATTTCCAACAGTCTATCCACAATTTTCGAAATCTCATTGTGCTCTCTATGAACCACTTAGTGAATATGTTCAAAAAGGAGAAACGATACGTATTCATATGAGAATACCCAATGCTCGAAGAGTACGAATTGATGTAGAAGAACAAAGAATAATGATGACCAGCAATGAATACAAAAATGATATTTTATCAAAAACAATAACTGTTACAGGGAATATTCGAATTTTAGCAAAATTTAAAGATAATGCAGATCTTTTACGGCCATTGTGTAAATTTATTGCACAGTAAAAAAATAAGTATTGAAATGTAATGAGTTGACCATCATTTTATTAAATAAATAGTAAAAGTACTTTTGTTTTCATTCAAACATTACAGGATACCCTACAAAATTTTTTTTACCAGTACTCATACGCACCAGTGCTGAACCATGTTCGGCGAAATTGAGTCTAAATCATATTAACCCTTTATCCCCCTCTTCCAATGGGTCACTTGAGTGACCAATTATAAAAACGTAACAGAGAAAAAAATAAAGCCTCGAATACAAAACCTTTCCAGACATTATTTATTGCAAAACCCACAGGCTATTGATCGTTAAAAAAAATTTTCTGTCTTCGAGGTGCCTGAGATAAAAAACAGAATTTCAGAAACTCTGTTAGGATCGCTATGGGAGGGCGCAGTGTACATCCAGGCGGACATTAGGTAAAAAAAACGAAGGTCGGTTTTTCAGCGATTCAAACAACGATCTATATACTTCAAGACATGTTCTATCTGATGGCATAAAAAGTTTTGTTACAACGATGATGTAACTTAGCATGACAAATCGGTCGGTCGAAAATTAGCCCGAAAACTGTGATATCGGTAGAAAAATGAATTTTCATAAAACTGGAGAGACTGATAAGGAAATTCAATACATATTCTGAATCTGCATACTGTCCAGTATCGATCATAAAAATAGATTTAATTTGGACTTATGGCCGTTGAGAAAAAAGTAAAAAGTTTTTCTAAATGGTTCTTCTAAACGACTAGTTTTGGTGAAATGAGCGCCCCCTTCACACCCCACTTCGAAACTCTCTCTCAAACTTTGCTAAAATGTTCTTCTAGATGGTCTGTATCATTGCTATTAGCACAAATATTTCTAGAGCTTGCAGCACGTTTTCCAAAAAACCTTGATTTTTTGGGTACTTTCAAATTTTCTCGGTTCAGGTGCACTTTTATTCAAAAATAAGGTCATATTTGACATCAACGCACTAAACTGCATCGAATAGTGTATAAAACGTCTAAAATTTTCGAGGAAAAAACTTCTCAACAAAATTTTTGAATTTGTTTGTTTTTGATTAATATGGGTTTCCGTGTGATCGAAAGTCATTTTTATGCAAAAATAATAAAAAACTCTCGCCAATAAAAATTACATGTCCACCTGGTCTGTAGAAAATGCACACTTTGGAGAGCGTAAAGGTTTAATAATAACTACAGTTCTATATACGGAACTCCAGCTATCGTTAATATAATTTAGACTCAATTTCGTAGTGTTAATATAACTTCGAACAAAGAAATATGTTTAATCAACAGTATATCAGCATTAAATCTAAATTAATTAAACGCATTATTGCGATCATTTTACATCTTTTTCTCTCTTGCTGGAATCATATACGATCATTCGATTTTCTCACTCATACTCTTACCAGAAATGGTAAAACCTATCAAATTTGATCTAATGAGATCGATTCTAATCATTTTGAGCTTAATATGAAATTCTTTTATTTTAAGTTTTGGATGATATTTACTTGTTTGGGTAGAAACGTCAAAAGTTCCATGATTATCAAAAAATACATTGCATTTTTTTTCCTTCCCAACAATTTTATAGTGTATTGACAGGATATCTCATAAATCTTTTATGAGTACATGTTTTCATTATTTTGCAAGAGAATACGATTGTTCATTCTAGAGATGTGCATCCTGTCAAAATTAATTTTTTCACTAGTGTAGGATATCTACATAAACTGATGTTGTGAAAAAAGATACAAAAGTTATAACAAATACTTTCAGATAGTTCATGTATGAAAAAAATAATTTTTACTCATGATTAAATAAAAAATAAAATTTACCTATGAGTTCAATGAACACGCTTTGCTTTATCAAAAACATATCTTTAAGTTTATCCTCATGGGAAACATAATTATTACATAATTTTCTTATTCAATCAAAATAATTGATGTATTCATTGTTGTTGTTTACTGTTTTATCGTGAATTTGATCATTTGTTTATAATATCGAATGTAACTGTTTTGTCTTCAATACAATTCATGATTTTCTCTAATATTTTAATATCAATCATTACAATACATTACACTGTCTACTATTACACAACAAAATTTTTCAACATCTTAGTCACAACTAAAATGAAAAATTTTGTTAATAAATAGAAAATTTTGAAAAGAATTACTATTAGGTCGCTATTCGCTATTTCTTCAAACAACTCTACAATATAATATAGTATAGTATGTCAACTGTTCAAGAAAATGATTATCTTTGTACATTCATCCACTGTAAAATAAAGCGTAATTTTGTTTGAAGAATAAGTTATTTATTATAAATGTAAAAATTACAATTAAACATTTTTCCTAATAAAAAAGATTAATCTGAAAATGCTACAAAAAAAATAAATATGAACAAAAATTACCAAAAAACAACATCTATTAACGATCAACAAACATACGCCGAAAGTGAATCAATCAATGTTTCTATTTTTCACTTTACGCAAGTTTAAATTTGATCAGAATGTTGGAAACAAAAAAAATAAACAAATATATAACAAATAATTATCAATACAAAAAGAAACAAAACAATCACCTTATTTTTGAAGAAAGACATGGGCAATTATGAAAGAACGACGTATTTTTCTTTTATTAAAAATGAACGTGTTTGAGAAACACTAGACAGAAAAAAACCTATTTCTACGATAAAAAATAACTAATATTTTTCATACACATGAACCATCAAATTTTATTATAAATCTTGTCCTCCATGATTGATCATCATTAGCAAATGGATACCATAGAATATAGTTTGTTTCCCATACATTATTATGTAAATTAATCGCCATACCATCTAATGACAATTGATCATTATCACCGGGTGCTGGAAATGGTAAAGCGGTTGGTTGTTGATCTTGAACAATTGGACAAGCAATGGGTGCATCTAATGTTGTCACTTTCACCGTCACATAACAATTATCAGATATACTCGATTTGCAACTAAAAGACATAGTAGATGTTATTACTTCACTTAAGTTTCTTGAATATTATTCATTTAGTAGTAGAAAATCGACATATTTTTCTTTGTTTAGACAAAACGTTTATTTCAATTTGCCTACCTAAACGCTTGTACACCACGTTGATAGTACGATGAATTTTTTGCAGCTTTTTGTACATCAATTTCATTATCGTATAAGATTAGACTACAAGTTGGTGACATTGGTAACATAAATTTGATCATTGACGCTTCACCTAATCGTGTCGATGTTTTATTCAATCCTAACCATTCTAGAAATAACGTTGTTTCATCTAAAAATGTATAATTCAACCATATTTCACCGAAACCACCATAATTGACAGTTGTTGTGTTATCAAGTAACATTTGTACTAGAAATTGATTCTCATTTATTCTCGAACGATAAAATTTTTGTATTTGCGGTAACCAAACAGCCGATTGTGGTTGAGCATTCAATGTGGAATTTGGCTTAGATATACCTAGAAAATATTAATAAAAGTATTACAATCTATTTCAAAAAGCTCAAACTATCTAAGAAAGGGCAATAAATTACAAAAGTGGAATGGAAAATAGAAAAATCTAAAATAGGTTTTAATAGGTAAGTCGAATGAGACTTTATATGCACAAACTTTTATAAGTTTTCTAATTAACGAAAAAAATCATTTGCATTCGATAGATACTTGCCAAGTTAACTTAACATTAACTTAACGTAACATAGAACTTCAACAGGTACCTATACCCATTTGCGAATTGAGAAACAAGATATCAACAGAATTTGTCGCTAAGATTACTAGTAGTATATGGTTTACAACAGACGGATATTGCCTTACCACTCACTATCACGTGCCTCTGATATATCACTCAAATGTTGTACACTGAACCAAAAACTTGAAAAATTCAATTAGAGGGCTCAATTTATATATTTAAACTAAAATCCATATTTTGCAAAAGATTCACAGTTAGCCTAGACCAGTTTAGAACTATCCTCTAACATAGATGTTCCAAGTTTAATTAACTTGATAAGCATTAATCAAAATCAATGACGGTTTTTTCGTTGATTAGAGAATCCGTAAAAGTTTGTACATATAAAGTCTCATTCAACTTACTGTCTGAAACTTCGTTAAGTTTATATTTGAATTCCATTTTAGATTTTCGCCATTTTTACATGCGTTATTTACTCTTTCGTCTTTTTTTCTAGACATAAAATAACCTCGGATATAACTTTTGATAGAAATGAGACAGATCTTTTTTAATGAAACACCAAATTACCACAAGACTTAGTACGCTCGATATCTTATCTTCCAACTATTTTTGAAGTTCATAGAGGTTATCTCACTGTGATCCTGGAGCTCTCAGGATATTCGATGCTACGCCTAGTTCAAGACACATAAGGAATCCGAATAACGCTCATTGTCTAGAAGACACTTTGGGCTACTTTCGAAGATAAAAAGCAAATATATAACTATTTCATAGTACTGTTTCTAAATCTTAACTCGGAAAAAGATTTTTCAGACTTATTTGTTTATAAAAAGACTAGTCTTTTTTTACTGAATGGCAAAATTCGCACGTCTCTGTCTCATTTCTATCAAAAGTTAGTCAACAAATATTTGCGTCCGCCATATTTTGAAACGGATACTGGCAGATAAAAGCAATGAAAATAATCTGTCTTCATACCTGGATTTCCATATGTTTGTGATAAATGATCAAAATCTGTTTGATTGTACGTAATGTATACATAGGACGCTAATTGATATTTATCTGTTGTCCAGTATATCGTATCGTCACGATAAAAACGTTTAATTGAACCATGTTCTTCATCGAATGATACATGAAATGGTTTCGCTGATGTTTTAAATAGAAAAAAATCCTCATCTGGTCTAACTTCTACAAAATTCTCTAGATTAGGACGATTTAAGTTGGAAAATGCTTTAGTTAATTCATCTTGGATAATATCATACAACGGATGATTCTCTACTGTTTGTAAATATACATTGAAAAATTCACGTTGTTCAGTCCACGCTGATCGACAATTATTATAATTATTTCCACTATTCACAACTGCATGAAATTGTTTATTCGACCTAAACCACAAACACTTTGTCACTTATACATTTCTCTCAAAGCTAAGCTAAAAATAAAATTTTACCAATTAATTTGATCGTATACTCCGGGTAAACCCCATGTATGCTCGGGAATTTTTATTAAAAATCGACTTGCATTAATCAATTGTTCATTATTGTATTCACATAAATTTTCATCATAGCATCGAGATATAGCTTGTTGTAAAACTTGATATTGTTGAACACGTTTTGGATCACTTCCAATGCCTTGTAACCATGTATCTGATATATCACTATCAAAATATTCTAGTTCAGACGAATAAGAAGCAACATCTTCTAGAAAAGATTGGAGCGATGATGCAAATACACTAGCCGACGGATACGATTGTCGTAGAATTTCATGATCTTGATGAATTTCAGACAATGATTGGGGTGGACCTTGATTATCTGTTCGAAAACTAAATGCGAGTCCAATACCAGCTTCTGGTACAATCACTAGATCATTCAATGAGAGACCACCAGGTTTAGAAAAAGTGGAACCGGGATTATTTGGATATCCAAATGAATGCCATGTAGCTAACACACTTGAATCACTATCGATGCCCCATCGAAATAAACCTTTCGGAATCTCAAGACCAGTTACCGCTAAAATGTACAAAAAGTATTAGATCTGAAGAATATACAGTATTTACTTGATCTATTACCAGAATTGACGCCAACAGTGATCATTGGTGGATGACTGCAATATTGTTGAAAATAAGTTTTAAACGCTTGTAAAACAGCTAATGGTAGACCGGGTACATCTCTTAAACTTAATACACATGTAATAGGTCTATCGAATCGTTTACTGAGTGCAACAGCGATATCAAATGAAGCATTTAATGTTAATTCGTCCATAAATTCATATTGCATATTCATGGGAGCTGCGTGCCATGTGATATGACCAGATCGAATTGAACCTTCTACAAGAGCCATCTCTTCCACACTCGGACATATTAATTTGATGCCATTTAACACAAGATTTGGTGGACAATTGAAAAATAAATCCAATAACCTAAAATGGAGAAAAATTAATATTCAAAAAAAATAATAACTTATTAAAACGTCTTACCATGGATGCGTAGTATAAACAAATGAATCTTCTGGATAAACTTTTCTTATTTGTTCTGCTAACAATACTGCTCTTGGAAAATATTGATGAAAATAAATATTTAAAATATTGTTGATGAAACCTGTTTGTGGTATTCCGTTGTATCCAACATCTAAGTGATTCATATGAATAACATGTATTCGACTAATATTTGGTAATATTTGTTTCCAGCATGATAGTGTATCTCCTTGCCAACATATCGAGGGTAAATCTCGATCATAATGAATTGTGCCATTAATTTGATTGCCTTGATCTGTGACTAATGTTAATTGATTATCACTGTTCAAATCTAAATAGCCTGTAGTAAATGAGAGAGGTTGACCAGTCACAGTCACTAGATAGTGATTGAACGATTGTGAATAATCGATGAAAAAGACATATTGAGAATCATCGTTTACTTTTGACATTGAATAATAACCATTTAAATGAGGAAATTCACTGTGCACCAGCGATGAAAAACAACAAAACCAAAATAACAGATATACAAACATCTATAATTTATAAATAGATTTTTTCTATTGTCGTCTGTACCCAAAAAAACATCAACTGAAAAGAATCAAAATAGTCTCTGATTCGTTGTCTAAATAGTTTTGATACATTTTATTTAATCATTCTACCCGAGACCTATGTACAAAAAAAAAGAATGAAACAAACACTTATTCAAAAATGTCTGATAGATAAACATATGACAGTCTTGACTATTTTGTCTATTTATACAAAATTATTATTTTTATGATTTTCAAATTCAAGATTTTGTTTGTTGTTGCGGTTGTTGTTCTTCATTTGGTAAATGTGATATAATATCAGCAATATGACTTTCTAAATCATCGATACGACGACCAAGTTCATTCAGTAAAAACATATAAGAGGACAGTTAAGAAAATCTATAGTATTATTTTGACTAAAATAATAGCTATTATTATTAATAGCTCTATTCTCTAGCAACGTTCAGCAATGCAAGATGTTTAAAAAACTAATTATCTTTGTTACAATGTCAGAAACACACGACGACTACTTTTTAGTTAAGTTTTTTCTCATGTTACGCATCATTACATCTATTTAAACCAGATATGGGCGGGACCCGATCTCGAGAATTTTTTTCGGACAGAGGCATTTCTATGTATATGCGAACAAAAAAATAAAAGAAGACGATTCCGTCTTTCTTCTTTCTTTTTCTATTTATCATCCACGGCGCATAACATCATCACACACTCGATGTGTTTGCAGAACAAAATATCAAACGTTAAGAGAATAAAAGGACTTTCTTTAGATATGGATGGGACCAAGGTTCTTCAGTCCCGATCCCGCTCATGTCTATGCACATGCCCAAAGAGGAGGACTGGACCTGAAAGAATGTGTCCCTACTTATTCGTAATGTCGCTATACTTCGAAAATCAAAGATAAGAATTATAAGAAAACGAAGAGTCCGCCTTCTATTGGATGAAAATTTTTTTATCCCCCTGGCTGCCCCAAAACCCGTGCTTGCTCATGTCCACTCTAAACAGTCTTCATACTACTACAAGAACAACTTGACCTATACGAAAATATTGTCTCTCTTTCGTTCTCCGTTCACAGAACGAAAAGTCTTTTTTTGTGAAAAAAAGGATATTTCTATTCATCACTTGATCTGTTGTTGATATAAATTTTTCTTCCATTTGTTTAAATATATTATTTACCTAGAAAAAAGGAAAAACCGCACGTGACGAAAAACACTGATGAAATTATCTCGACTTACATAGGCAGTAAGATTGCTCACATTTGTTAACTCATTAGGATTATTATTAGTAAGGGATGTTTTAATTTCAGTTGACATTTTGAAAAAATCTGAAAAAGAAATAGATGAAAAACGTTTTTACTACGCTTTCCAATTGTAATGACAAGGTGCATATATATATGGGCTTGTCCACATAAAAGTCAACTTTTACGGAAGTCCGTCATGTTTTATGAAATTCATAGCTCTTCAGTCGAGCAACGTATTAGCGGCGTAGCTAGCACTTGGCCAAGGGTGGATCATGGCCCATCCTTCAGAAATTTCGTTTTCTTCGCAGTAGAAAAAAATATTTTGATTGAAATCGAAAATAAAAATACTACATAAGAACCTTTTTACTGTTTTCTTTGGCCGAAGAAAAGGTTTGCCCACCCCTTACTGGAATCCTGGCTACGTTGCTGCAATGTACAGAGTTGAGGAACGTAGCTCAAAGATTTTCTTTCAAATAATAATTAAGCAAAGTCTAGCAGCTGACTATTTTAAGTGACATGACGTTTTTGGTGTACGCCACTTTCGTACAAAATGGCCTTATCCGCGCGAATTATAGGCGGGTGTTTCGTTTAGAGCTAGACTTTGCTTAATTATCATTTAAAAGAAAAATCTGTAAGCTACGTTCTCCAACTCTGTACGTTGCTCGACTGAAGAACTATGAATTTCACAAAATGCTACGAACGTACATTTTTTTGGCTGATATGCTTGGACACACCGATATCTATTCAGGTGATGTTTCGTTTCCAAAAACTGAAAAAGTACGTTTAGCGTCCCATTTTACAATTCACATTCACAGATGAAACAGAAGAACTGCTGTCATTGACAGCAATTTCATATTTTTATATTTGTGAGATTTATGATAGATGACAGCCTGTCATCTATCGTTGGTAGTATATTCGTTTATATTTCAACCAATGGTTGTT